GGGGGGGGGGGGGGGGGGGGGGGGGGTCCTGTAATCGCTGATGCATGGTTTCACTCATTTCTCAAAATAGATGCATGTATCATAATTCCTTTAAAAAGCAGCAGAGGAAATTGAGATTCAGAAATGCTGGTTTTCCCAAACCACACAGCTAGAAAGAATCAGACCTGGAACCCACCTGTGGCCCTCTTTTACCCAAAGCTCATATTCTCCTCACCATGCAGCTGAAGAAGGGAAGGGAAGGGACGTAGGGCTGAGCGGCTGTGCATACTTACAGGGGGAGAGGTTATATCAGGAGGGGTGGACATGTCCCCAAAAAGTTCTAGTTGGGTCACAGCCTGAAAAGATAAAAAGAGAATGATGTCACCACAAGGGAAGCCAATGCTGCCGGGCGCTGCTTTAAAATGGTATGACATTTTCCATTGCGGCTATATCAACAGTAAATCCAGCTGGTCGTTACAGTACCTCATGACCCTAAAGACAATGTCTGGGATGTAGCCAGAATCAATTCCTGCTTCAGGGTATCCGGCAGTTTATCTGGGGCTAGTTAAGGAGATTCAGGCTTAGCACCTCCCATTACCAGTAAATACCACCTCACGCTGACCTCCCATCAAGTGCAATGCTCTCTCTCTTCTCCAGGAGATAAAGGCAAGAAGGCAGTACCCTCAGTGCTTGTCTTTTATGAGTGCACACACGTACAAAGTGCCTTCGATGTGCTAAGGATAGTGAGACGTGACTTTGTGACCACTTCTCAGCAAATGTTCCCCCAAACGCTAACCTGAGAGGTACAAATCATCATCCCCATTTTTACTGATGACTCAGCTGAGTCTCACAGAGGTGACCCCGGGGTCACCCAGGGCCAGGACTTGAATTTTCTGCAGATAGAGCATGCGGTCAAATGACGGTCCCTGAAAGAGTCAGCCTTTAGGATAAAAAATGTAGTTGGAAGAAAAGAAAACATATCATTTAATACCAGGAAGGGCATCGAAAACAGCCCAGTATATACACTATTAATCATTGCTACCAACTCCATCACTGTAGACACTGTATCATCTATATCCTCATCCATCATACAGGAGTGTCTGAGCAAGGCCAGCCACAGTGGCAGAAGAAACCCTTTAAGATATGCTTAGAAATTAATCTGCATACACTTCCAGCTTCAGAGACCGTAGGGAGTCTGTGGCCAGGAACCACACGGCCTGCCTTAAAGTATATAATCATATGCTTTGTGTAAAACCTGCCCACTGAGGAAAGAACTCTTTTGGCTTCTCTCTGGATTTTAAGTGATAGTGACTGAGGGACCTAAAAACATCACTCAACAGAAAGGACAGGAAGAGTCTGCCTGCCTGCCATGCAGGAAGCCCGCACTTGAATTCTTCTGTAACCAGGCATGGCTAGGTCTCTACACTTAGTACAAAAAAGGATAGTTCTCTCCTACTGACGAGTGAGTGAGCTCTGGGCATTGGGAAAGGCCCCACATCTGGAGGTATATTCACTTCCAACCTCTGCAACTCCACAGAGCTGCAGTTCCCTCATCTGGATGGCAGAGATGATAATATCTCCTTTGCGGATTTATTGACAATACTATTGACAAGACTTTGAAGTCTGTCTAAGCCTGGTTAAAAAGGTACATCGGGGCACCTGGATGGCTCAGTCGGTTAAGCGTCCGACTTCAGCTCAGGTCATGATCTTGTGACTCATGGGTTTGAGCCCCACGTTGGGCTCTGTGCTGACAGTTCAGAGCCTGGATCCTGCTTCCGATTCTGTGTCTCCCTCTCTCTTTCTGTTCCTCCCCCACTCGCACTCTGTCTCTTCCTCTCTCTCTCCAAAATAAAGATTAAAAAAAAAGGTACAAAAGGCTCTTTTTGCTGAAAGCAGCTTAGATCGGTTAATGTACTTTCAATTCTTCCCTTTAAGCTTTCAGACAGAATAATGGTTCTGGGCACATAGTAGGGCCCTACACACACACTCATCTCCTTCCCAACGACACAGTGCTTTGTCCATACACGCTAAACACCTGTTGGGTGCTGGGAGCTGTGAACAGAATGATGAGAAATGCCAAGTCCCAGACTGCAGGGAGTTTGCAGTCTGGTGGGATGTTCCAAGGAAGTAGATAATTTCAAGGTAATGTGTCAGGGACGGTGACAGGGGTCTCTGTGGGAGAGCAGAGAAAGGGAATCAGCTAGCTTTTGGCAAAGAAGCTTAAGGAGGGTTTTCTAAAGGGAACAGACCCCATCTGAATGAGAAAGGATAATCCAGGCAGGTGAAAGTATATGAGCAGAAAAGGAGAGGGGCCTGGGAGGTGTGAGCAGGTGGGCAGCAAAGCAATTTGTACGGAGTGTGAGAACGGAGAGCAGCAGGGAAGAGGCCAGCGAAGTGGACAGGACAGGGGTAACGTTGTGGTGCGACTGGACCCGGCCAGACCCTAGACACTTGCTTGTCTCCGGGAAAGAGGCTTTAGCATATTTACAATATTTTATGTTATTTGGCGAAACTATGCCAATCCTTATGTTCCCTCCCAGATTCATAAAAGAAATACTTGTGTTTAATCAATTCAAATGAAGCTTCTGGGCTTCCTCACAATTGGGGCTCAATGCTTTTAAAATGGCCTACAACTATTTTCAGTGGTAGGAAAATAATAAAATGAAGTTAATAATTAAGTCACACAATTTACATTTCAAATGCGTTTGAACTCGTGGCACACTTTTACTAACATCATAAATATAATTTATTGGCTAATTTTCTCCTTAAGCACAACTTTTAAAATAACCTTCAGTCTTGAGATATAGACTTTCCTCTTGCCAGATGATTTTCACTCAAGGATTAAACGAGAAAAACATGCAGGGGCATAAAACATAGATTGTTATTTCATTCCATTGGATTTGCTGTTTAAATAGAAACTTGAGTTAATTAAATTTTATAGAAAAGGGGGATTCTTATGGCCATAAAATTAAAAATAATTCTAATAACCATATGTGATTGAGATCTGGAATAATATCTATTTTCACTGCCCGCCCCCCCCGCCATGTTAGCCCCAGTCCTTTTTATTTGTAACCTAACAAACCATGTTCCATCTGATAATATTGTTGTAATTAATCATTTTAATGACCTCAAGAGAATTAAAACTAACCATTCACATTTGTAAAACATTTTATAGTTTATAATACATTTTCCAATACATGACCATCATGTTTGACGCTCAGTGAGCCCCGTGGTGTTGCACTTTGCACATAAGCTGAGACCAGGAGGTGACACGACTCGTCTGTGATGTGGGAGTTAAAAGAAGCTAGGCTTGACCCACAGGCCACGCAATGCCTCGTTTGTCTGTCACTTGACAAGCCCTAGTTAGGTGGCATCCTAGACAATGGGAGTGTGGCCACAATGTTCTCTAACCAGAAGCTGCGGTTCCTAAAAGGTCTGCCATGATGGACATCCGCCCGAAGGGCTCTCAACTGGCAGGCCAGCTCAATATGCCCATTCCCATTACCAGCACTTTAGACACCTTCAGGTAGAGATGTGGCTGTCGACGGCAGATTCTGCGGTCTTCAGGTCCCAGGTATTTTCCAGGGTAAGCAGATTGATACTGGAAGCTGCCAAGCCCAGTGAAGGGGACAGGGATAACTCGGTTGTTGAGGAGGAAGCCCCTCGATATCTCCCGTGGGCCAGCTACTCCACAGCCATTCTTTGATATGAACAAGCAATGGTTTCCGAATAGTATCTAGAGTGCTGTGCCACTGCCGTTTCAAGAGGAGTCCCCTGGTCCCTCGTTCAACTAGACGGCTGCAAGCAGACTCCTAGGCCCCTCCTGCAGACAGATTCTGAAAGCGCCATTGATGAAGGCGGAGATGTCCTTGGCTGACCCCCAAAACACATTCTCACAGACACACTCCTTATGTTTTGGCATCAGGAGCTCCTTCATGCAGGAAAAGTTTGGAGCCCCTACTGTTCATCAGCTGCTGTACTGAGAGCAGGGGATATGGGCCTGCTCCCATCCCTACTCTCAGGGGCTGGTGGTTGTATGGAAAGACAAACCTATGGACAAAATCAGGGCGGTGTGATGGAGAGGACAGATACAGGGTCACAAAAGGAGGGGCCATCTCAGGCTCTTTGCACATGCTCTTCCTTTTACCGAGAACATTCAATTCCTTCCCCAATTGCCTTTCCCACCCATCCTTCCGGACACAAATTAGGGGATTCTTCTTTTTCTGGGCAGTGCTTCCTAACTCAGTTTGCACCCCGTCCCACCATCCAGAATGGCTTATGTGACATTCTTAGGTCAGGCAGGGATTCTCAACCTTGGATGTACTTGGGGGAAAATACTGATGCCTGGTTCCTACCTCTAGAGATTCTGAATTAGGTGAAGTACAGCCTTGTAACTGGGACTTTAAACTCTCTCCTGGTGATTCTAAGTGACAGCCACGGTTGAGGACCCCCTGTCCTACAGGCTTCCCAAACACCCTATTCTCAGGGGTGATAATATGCACTGGCCTATGTATCAACCGATCTGAACAAACATCGGCAGCAGACCAGTGCCCCTAGTCCAGGGTGTATCAACTGAACAGCAGCCTCGCCTGGTTTTTATTCAAGTGGGTGCACTTTGCACATCCTGTTTATGTGCCTGACCCCCTGCTATACTACACTGTACTACGCTACACCAGGCTAACCTGCCCCGTCTTTCCTATGCTGTGCGGTGTGAGCTCCTTGAGGACACAGTCTGTGCCCTCCTGCTCTACCGAATCTCTAGCATCTATCAGAGTTCCTGGGACATTCTGGGAGCTTGAAACATATTTGTTGGATGAAAACAAGAGCGTGTCAGTTCCTCTGCAACACAAGCTCAGCACGCACACACGTATCAACATACACATGCCATCTGACCTCATCACAGAGCTCACCTGTGAACATTAGACTAGACACCCCCGGAGCACAGCCGGCACCTGCCATTCACGCAGGCTGGATGAGAATATGGAAGGCATGAGAATGGCCAGAACGACCCTCATTTAACAAGAGCCCGGAGGCCTTACCTTTGTTGCCTCTAAAATCTCATCAAAGTCGGTCGGCAGGTTTCTGTTCTGTAACCACAAGGCATGACTTATGAGCATGAAATGAACAATGGGATGATGACGTGGAATGGTTAACCGGGCAGGGCCCTCTCCTTCTTACCGGGGTGGCCGCAGCAAACCGTTCTTCAAAATCCTCGAATGGATGGCCATTCTGAAAGGGTAAGGGATGATGAATGAGGACGAAGAGCATGACACACAAATGGCATGGATTTATGAGTGAGGATGATGGCATCTGCAGTTACACCAGGCAGGAGCTGTGGCCAGTGTACTAGGAAAGCCCTGGACGTGTTCCCAGCAGAAGCGGGTGATACAACACGGGCCTGATTAGGAAACACAGCAAGGGTAAGTTTGTAGGTTTCAAGCCTATCTTCCTGCGATTACAGACATTACCCAGCCAGCCTCCATGGTTGGGGGGGGGGGGCAGCGGATAAGAGCACGATGTTTACGCTCAACATTTTGGTTTTACAAATTAAAAATACTACCATGTGCTTTAGTCAAACTCTTTGGAGCAGTCTGTGACCAGCTGGTTTTGTAAGTGCCCTGCTGCATGTTGCCCCCTATGCTTGAAATGCTCTTCTTCTCACCTCTGCAAGCTCAAAGCCCAGCTGGAAGGCCACCTCTTCCATGAAGCTTTCCTTGATCCTCTGAGCTGAAAATCATCACAGGGATGGGACATCCATTGTGCTTCCTGGAGCAGGGACCAAGCTGTATTTATTCCTGAATCCTGGCTGCTCACAGAGGAAGTGGCACATAGCCATGCTCAAGAATACAGGAATGAATGCACGTTGTAGAAGTAGCTGGCAGGTGACCAAATCTAATCATTTTGTTAATTTTCTCATTTTACTGTTTACGGTCATTGAGAATTTGGCTAAACCACCTGACACTGCTGCAATGGCATTCATTTATGTGGCTCAGCTGCAGGGGCCTTGAAGGGACACGAGCCTCTCCCATGAGGCTATGAGGCAGGCTCTAGATAAACACCCTGCAGAGTCACAAGTAATTCTAAGCTCCTGGAATGCCTCCCCCAGTAGCCTTGTGGTTGGCAGTCTCTCTGGCTTCCCAGGGCCTTAAGGTCCCTGTAGAGCTTACCAAAACCTTGCTCTTTTTGGTGCAAATGGACCACTCTGGCCTCAGTCCAGGGAACCCAAAGCACTTCACTGTGGGTCCTAATAAAGGCACGTGTCTTCGGTCCTGCCCTGCTTTCTCTACATGCCCCCTGCCTTGACCTTTCCCAAGTGATCTCCTGAGGTGTGCTATGTACCTCCTCCAGGACCTATAGTAATAAACTTCTCTAGTACAATTTCCTTTCAGTCTTTTGTTCTTCTCTCACCATCTGATACCTTGGTGGTCTGCTAAACAAATATTAATTACCAAAGTCACAGTGATAATATATATTATAGATAATATACATAACATCTATTATATATATGTTTTTAATCATCATGTTTTGGTCACTATGTACAAGCTAATTACATTTTGGATGATATCCAAGTAGTGCAGCATTAATATAAATCTGACAATATTAACACTGAAATGGAGTTATTATGCATGAACAGAAAGAACTGAATCATTTCCCACTTTGGAGGAGAGCTTCCTGTTGGCAACGAAGGAGTGGAGAAACCATCCCCCATAATCATCTCCACCCTGTCTGCAGAAAAGGTGACTGTTAGGTCAGTCAGCCCCATTTACAGAGAAGCAGGGCCAAAGACCCAACGTGGCCGTGCCTCCCACAGCCACCACCAGTTCTGTCCTCAACCACCTGCTTCCATCAGGCCCTGGCTTGCCAGAGGTCAACTGTGGCAAAGAGGAGAGGAAGGGCAACCACATCAGATAACCACATAAATTATTGTGATGATGATTCTATTTGGCCAGAGGTGGAGAGAGGTAGTGAGACAGTATTAGCCTAAGTGATCCTGTAATCTATGGTGTGGCCTAAAAGGTTAAGGTTATGTCGCTACATCCTTTATAAATTCACACACTTCTAGGGATTTATGGCACAGCCCCTACCATCTAGCTCTGGGTCATAACTTTTAATAAAAACATTTTTTAGTGTCCAAAATCTCATTACATCTGTCCAATATAAAAAAGCAAATGGCTTCAGAGCATGATGGATGAATTAAATAAATTTGAAAAACAGCCTGTTGTAGACTCTCATAAAACCCCCACCATATAATGAAAATGTGTGAGGATAACCAGCACTGGTGTGAGTCCGTCACTTTCCTGGTGACAGAAGAGGTGGCCTTTGGTGAGGTGTGGGGCTGCGGTATGAGGAGGCCATTTCTATCCATTCAGACGAAGCTCGGTCTGGGCGTGTGAGGTGAGCAAAGGCATCTGTCAGGAGTCACGCAGATGTGGGCTGAACCCTGGCCATGCCACACGTGGGCTGTGCGATCCTGGACAAACCGGTCAGCCTCAGTTTTCTCGTCTTTAAAGTGCAGATGATAATGCTAACATTGCCTCAGGTTTATCGAGAGGATTACTTGAGATGTGTGTGTGAGGTCTCGTTTGGTGCTTGGCACATGGTAGATGTTCAATAAACAGTAGCCGTTCCTAGTATCGTCTCAGCCTGTGTCATTTGGCCCGCTTTTGGCATGCAGAGGCACACATTTTTTAATGTTAGGAAACGACTATTATATGACATTTGGAAAATGAAAGAGGAAGAAGAAGAAAAATCTTAAGGGAGGCCCCTCTTTAGAAAGTACCCCTGCCTGAGAGCCCAGACCAGATCCCATGTAGAAGGATGCCCCACACGTCCTGGCCCTCGTCCTGATCCCCTCAGTCCATTCTTGACCCTGCCTTCTTCCTTGAATCTCCTTTCTGGCCACAGTCTTGCCTGATCATCCTCCTGTCCTGTCACCACAAGCACCTTCCTGTTGTGATCCTGGCTCGGTCATTCCTTGGACCCCTTTCCTCCCGTCTGGGGCAAGCCTCAGGGATAGTCAGACCATTGCATCCAGCCAGTGGGGAGATCGTGCCATCCATGCACTTCCTCCCCGTTGAGTCTCACGGCCAGGACCTGGAGTCCATTCCCAAGTCCTCCCGACTCACAGCTTGCTTTACCCACAATTACTATTAGAGTTTTCATTCATTCATCTTCAAGTCTTTTCCCCACCTTATAGATAGATTTCTCACACTTATTATGGTGGCAGGCATGCAGCTTTGTATTCTACTTTTCAAGACACAATACCAGCTCACATTTACTCAAACCATCCACTTCCAGTGAGGATTTAACAGAAGAGGCTCTCTTGTGTTGTTTCAAGACAGTTCTAGGCTGAATCTTCATGAAGACATGGAAGTAAAGCCTCCACCGGAGTCTATCTTCCCAGAGTCTCTGTTGGGAGCAGTGGGGACACTGTTGTCCCATAACTGAGTAAAGTAACTATTAAGACCAGACTCACGTTATTAATCTTACAGCCAACGTGACAGTGGATGAGATGGGACGTGAACACGTCAAAAAGGATGCAAATATATTTACGGCTGCCAAATCAGAACCTTGTGTGGTTCTCACCCCTGGCTGCACAAGGTAATCCTTTAGGGGAGCTTTCTCCAAACTACTGATGATGCCTGAGCCCCGCCATCAAAGATTTGGTTGTAATGGTCTGGGGTGGGACCCTGGCATCAGTCGGTTCTAAGAGATCCCCAGGTGACTCTAACGTGAAGCCAGACTTGGGAATCACTGTGCTGGGGAATGAACTCTCTGTAGGAATAATTAGTGAAAGTCCTACTGGGAAAACTGAACACATCTTGATTGATTATATAATTGATTAATTAATTTCTTTAACAAACACTCACCGGGTACTTTTCACATGCCAAACTCTGGCTAGGCACTGGAGATACAGAGACGAATAATACATGGTCCTTGTTCTTCTGAAGCTCCGAGAAGAGCAAGAATATATAATCATTCTAGTTTGGGAGTGGGGTAGGAGTGAGACTGGGAGGATGCAAGGTATCTAGATCTAAACTCAGAACTCAGGCCAAAGCTGCAAAAGAATGAATTCAATTACCCACTTAGAAAGCTCAAGAGAAATGGATTAACCTAAGTGAGTTGTAACTGCACCAAAGTGGCTACTATTAAGGCACCTAGTGATTCCAGGCATTCGAATGCATGTGCCTTTTCCTGGTGAGTGAGCTAACAAGGAAGACACATGCTAATGAAGACGAATTCCTGCTGTGGTATCTAGGGATTTAGCTTTTTGTCACCTTTAGCCAAGAGTGAACAGCTGTTTTCCTACTTCCTGACAGACAGACAGACAGACAGATAGACAGACAGACAGACAGAGAAGCAGACACAGGCAGATAGATAGACACACACACACACACACACACACCCCTCTGTTTGGCAAATGAAGAACAAAGTGGGGGTGGGGGTGGAGTTGAGATAGGGAATGGAAAATTTGATGATAATAAATGATTTCTCCCAAGAGCAGCCATGTCCCATAGAACTTTCCGTGTGATGGAAATTTCTATGTCTGCAATATCTAATATGGTAGCCTATAGCTCCATGTTGCTATTGAGCACTTTAAATATGGCTACTGGGACTGATGAACTGAGTCTTAAATTTTATTTATTTTTAATTAATTTCAATATAAATAGCCACATGTAGCTAGTGGCTACTGTATTTACAGTTCGGCTAGCTCTCTCTCTATAAATATATGTTATTTGTTTAAATTTATTTATTTTTGAGAGAGAAAGTATACAGTACAAACAGGAGAGGGACAGACAGAGAGGGAAAGAGAATCCCAAGCAGGCTCCACACGTCAGTGTAGAGCCCAACTTGGGGCTCGATCCAATGAACCATGAGATCATGACCTGAGCTGAAGCCAAGAGTCAGACATATAACTGACTGAGCCACCCAGGCACCCCAGAGAATATATATTTATAAAAACAACTTCCGGATGACTGAGAACTTTCTAAATCCTGGACATATTGTTTCCTTACACAGTCTCTTCTGTTCTTTTAAAGAATATCCCTACTTTTGTACTAACTGAAAAGATTCTGTTGGAGAACTGAATTCTTTACACTGTGTAGATGGTACCATGAAAACAAATGCATTTTACACAAAACAGCAGCCTTCTTCTGGTGTAAAGGACTTTTTCATTGACTGAGCTAGATATTTGTGGGGCTTTTTAAAGGAAATTAAGATTCATGTTT